TAGTGACTCAATTAATTGCGTCAAATAATTGCGTCAATTGCGTCAAGGATCTACGAATTTCAGCAACATGTATAGTTGGAACCACGAGTTCACCAAGGAGTTCTTTCGTTCAATATATGGATTATATAATATACTTGATTTAGTTTTAGTTATAGTCAATTTTATTTTTATTTTTAATTTTTTATATTCAAAAAATCAAAAAAATTTGCAAAATTTCCTGGGATGGTAAGCATAGCTGCTACTCAGCCTTATCTAGCATATTAATATTGATTTTGATTTTTTTTATGATATTAGTTAGATATTGATAAATAGACAAGCTAGCATTTAACTTTCCTAAAATAATGAAAGAGATATTGTTTCTTTCAATGATGTACTGTATATCTTGTTATATACAAATCAAAATAAAGAAATGATGTTTACCTACTGGAGAAATCCCTCCAAAAAAATAATAATTGGTATTTTATTTACTCAATAAAATTCATATATTTATTGTTTGTTAAAATAATAATAATAATAAATAACTTATATTTATTTAATAAAATTATTATTGTAACAAATTTATACAAATAATTTATTTAAATTCTAAATTTTTATATTAGCTTTGAAAAAATATTAACTATTTAATATTAAAACTAATTTATTTTATATATGTATATTAATAAATAGCTATAATTAATATTGTAATATATTAAATTAAAAAAAAAACTCTTTCCTACTTCCTTTTCTATACTTGAAAATTTCTTTTTTAGAAAACTTTTGAGTTGTTTTTTTTTTTGTTTTCTTCTTCTTCTTTTTTTTCCCTTCCCTATACTCTTTTTTCCCCTTTTTTCTTTATTCTTTTCATCTTTTCTACAAACTCTTTTTTATATATTCTTATCTTTCATTTCTTTTTTTCTCTTCCTTGCCAAAATAAGGTTTTTTCTTCTTTCTAAAGATTTTTTTTCTCTAGGTCTCTCTCTTCTTTCAATATATTATCTCTTATCTTATTACTTTTTTGGCCAGTAGACTCCTTTCTCTCAGAAATCATATAAGAAGTAGCAAGATTTTTATAGAATATGAACTCTGAAAATTTTTTCTTTTCCATGACTTTTTAGAAAAAAAACAGACAGTTTATCCCTTCCAAAAAATTGACATGGCCATTATTACATAATCTAGTATTGTTTACTTGTTAATAGTTAGACTAGATATATTGTATCTAAAAATCTGATATACAACTATTATTATTCAAAAGTATTCAAGAAGTTGCACCTTACAATATTCAAAATAATATGGCAGCCAATGCCAATGCAGTTAACAATAAGCTAAATTAGTTTGCAAATATTATACTAGTAATTGGAAAATCTAATAGAATAATACATAAAGATCAAGGATTCTAGTTATTCCTGCAATACAAGCTAATAACAATAATAAAAGTTTCTTATTTACTTTCTGACAAGATTAGATACCAGTACTTTTAAAAAACCCCAAAACAAAACTTCACTCATAAAACACTTCTGCTATATTTGAAAAATGAATATATCAAATTCTTCTTATAACTTAAAGCAAACCTATATAAAGTAGCTGTAGTGCTTTTATATAAAAAAATAATTACAATTTAACCACTTCCAACACTACTTTACCGGCTATGGTTCCAAAAATTAGAATCGAACAAAATCAAATAGAATCACATGAGGTTCATAACACTATTAAAAATAATGGTGGAATATACCCCACATATTAAATTTAATATAAACTTGAGAATCAAATACAGAATCGAAGAGAATCATTAGAATCCTTATTACCAGCTAAACATTAAGTCATATTTAAGAAGCAAGTATACCAGTTCTACTTATGACTTGAAGGCAAACTTATATAAAATAACTACAATATTTTCCTATGATTAGGTATTCAAATTAATTTTTAGTTAATTAGATATCATTCAAGGCTATAATAAAAATTTTAAATTTATTTTTATTGTATTTCTTAAATGGTGCCAAGAAACTTAAGAATATGATTCTTTTGTAAATCTTGTATTTAACTTTTTCTAACAAAGAGAGATATATATTATACTAATTATGTTGTAAATCTTATAATTACAAGTCTAAAATTATAATAATAAAATAAAGTATAATAGTCATTTGCTTTTTTAAAAAAATATATATATTATAATAAATTAACTTATAAATATTATTTTGATAAAAATTTAATAAAACTTTTTTTGCTAATTCAAAAAACAAACATTCCAAAAAAAATTTATATTTTTTATAACAAAGTCTATATATTCTTTTTAACAATATTATTATTCAAAGATACTAGTTTTTTTCTATTTGTTTTTTTCTCTTTTTAAAATAAACTTTTTATATTTTTACAAATAAATACAAAAAAAACTTATCTATAAAGTCAAAGGTAAACACTTTGTTAGAAAAAAAACCTGTAGAAACAATATTCTTTTTTTTTTCTTCAAAAATTCAAGACTCTAAAGAAGATTACTATAGACTTTTGAAATTTTTTTTTTTATCTTTTTCAAGTCCTTTTTCAATTTTCTCAAACATGTAAACTTTTTTCTAGTTTTTTGAATAATTTTACCTATTTCAATTTGACTTCAAATTTTTGATTATATAAAATCTCTAAATAATAATTGGTTTGAAATTTGGATTGATTGATCTACATATAGCAAGAAATATAAACAAGACATAAATCTTATATATTTTATTTCATGCAACTTATATCTAATAATATAATTGGTAATAGTAGAAAAAGCAAAATAACAAAATATATTTTTTAACAAAAAAAGTGATTTGATACTTTTTCTTTTTTTTAACCTAATTTTATTTTTTTTTAAGATTAAAAAAAGATTTTATTTAAATTTAGTAATAAGTTAATTCTATTGTTAGTTATTTTAAAAACAATTAAAAAAAGGATCTTGAAACTATTTACTGATTAAATAATGCTATAAATCCTTAAAGAATCAGCAGAAAGAGATATTGCCAATTAAAATATTAATCCTCTTTAATATTAAAAGTCTTTAAGCATAAAATTTTAAGAAATACTCTTTCTTCTAAAAATATTTTTAAATATTCTTAATTAACAATAAAATAATAAAAATTAAATGGTTATCCAGCTGCAGGTAATAGAATTAGATAGTAATTAAAAAGAGTTTTTGTTTTATCAATATAAAAAAATTTTTTTTATTTATTTTTATTTTTTTAAAAAATAAAAATTTTTTATCTTTAAAAATCATAGTGATTATATAGGAGTGACAATTCTGAGTAAAGACTGGCTATGATGTTTTGAACTATTAGTATATTTCAGAATAAAATAAAGCAATTTTTTTTATTTCCTATAATTACATCTAGAAGCCATAGGTTTAAGATAAATGTGCTATATAGCAATACAAAGTTTAGCTTTATTATAGTATTTCTAATACAAATGTATAAATGTTTTCTGGCAAATAAAATTAATAAACTAATGACATGCAGCCTGATTTGAAGTAAATAAATAAATAAATATTATTTAATATAACTTAAATATTATATATATATGTATATATACTTATAAAAACTTTATATTTAATAGTTTTTTATAATAAAGAATCAAATATTTTTTAAATATTAAAATAAATTTTTAAAATATAAATAATTAAATTAACAAAATATAAAAACAATAAAGGTTATTAAATAAATAATATTAATTTAATATATTAAAAATAAATTATAAGTTTTTTTTTTAATATATAAATAAACAAAAATATTAATAAAATTAAAAAAATTAAAAAAAGAAAAATATTTAAATTATTATTTAAAATATATTTAAATATAATAAATAATTTTAGTATATACTGCGTCATATTTTTGTATTTATTTTTTTTTAAAAAAATTTTGCAACTGTACATTCCATAATATTTATAAAAACTATTTTTTCAATTGTAAAATTGTAAAATTGTTAACTATACTAGAAATAAATATTAACATGCACAATGCTTTAATAATAATTTTAACATCAGAAATTGATTTATCTAATTTTTTTTCAAATATTTAGTAAGAAATTTGAATAATTAAAGAATTAGAAACTTCAAACTTTTCATGATGTAATTGAAATTTAACCACTGAAATATTAATGAAAAGAGAATCTAATTTGTGATTGATGTACAAAACTTTTTCAACATGAATAATATCAATGTCCATCACGAGACGGCAATTAGATAATCGAATTGCAGATAATGCTCAACAACGTTCAATCATCGATACCATTTCCAACAGTTATTCTTCTATCAACCCAATTTCCATTTTCATCAGTACAACTCCCTCCTTGTGACTCATCATCATCTTCAATACCAAATACTCCAAAGTCTAATACTTCAAACCAGGTCACAGAATTTCGTTGAACTGCCGCCACACACCTACGTTCATCAAATCTTACTTGCCTATTTGAAACATACATCGTTGGTCAAAAATCAGTAAAAAATCAGTAAAATTACGATAATATAAATAATTATTTACCAAACGCCACTTAAACCAGTAAGCAAATCACGTTGCTGACGTCCTGTCTTGACATCCCACATTCGAAGCGTTCCATCGGATCCCGATATTACCTTGGTGTCATCATGTTGGAAACAGGTAATGGCCCCCGAATGGGTCGTTAGAACGTGCTTACAAGTTCCATCATCTGGATTCCAAATTCGTAAGCTAGAATCAGCAGCAGCTGATACCAGGTAGTCGTGTGAAAGATCTAGGAGACCAACAAGGGAAGAATGACCTATTGCGAATATATATATATATTAGTCATTTAAGACATCATTTAAAATAAATTACCTAATACGTACCTTCTAACGTCCATACAATCGTTCCATCCTCTAGACTCCACACTTTTACCGTGCCATCCATGCTCCCACTCATACATCTTTTCCGCTTTGCATCTAATACAACTGAATAAACCTTTTGTGTGTGCCCAAGCAACCGCCAAACGCATTCACCAGTCATAATATTCCAAACTCTTACAGTGCAATCGTAACTACCGCTTATTAATGTGTTGCCTACACCAGCCAAAGCGCGAACAGAATGTGTATGACCTCCGAGCGTGCGAACATAATATGGATTATCCGTATACTGATTGTTGTCAGAAGGTGACGAAGGAATCGTAGGAAGGTACTGAGGATCCGTTTCAAGATTAGGCAATCTCCATACCTTCAATGTGGAATCTCTTGAACCTGTGACAATCAGAGGAACTGGTGGCTCCACGATAGGAGGGTCATTAAGATTCGCATTCACATTCTGTGGCATTATGATCTGAAGACAACGAACAGTACTTGTATGACCTGGGAATACATGTGTACATATTCCCTTTTCTAGATCCCATACTCGAACCGTTCGATCTGTAGAACCCGAAACTAGAGTCTTATTAACATATTGTAATGCCCATACACCACCATCATGTCCTTCCAGCCGGTTAATTAATCTTCCAGTAGATGTTTCATACACATTAATACATTGATCATCAGAGCCTGAAATTATTTTTTCGGAATCGAATTGAAGACACGTAACAACATTGTTTCCGTGCCCGGGAAAAGATATATGATTATGTCGTCCATTAATCCAATTTTGCCTCATAAGAAAATGCCGACGGTATATAGCCTTATACGGATGATTTGAAGAAGGTGGAAGTGGAAGTCTATCATCAGAGAGTTCGGCATGATCGCTACTCTCTTGAGACATAGCATCAACATCGCTATCGTCACCATCATAAGGTCTATCATCATCTTGGTGTGTTTCTTGATCTTCCGCACCAAAGCTTGTCCATTCATCAACGGCTCGAGCTTTGCCTTTGTCCTGCAATTCTGAGAATTCCTTGACAAGTAAAGGTGAATTTCTGCTAGCAGTAGAAGGCTCATCTGTACCTGTTGGTGAAAGTGTGTAGGAGTCATTAATAGCATCACCATCATTATCGTCGGTAACTAGAGAGTGATCTTTTGGAAGCTCTACATTATCCATATCTACAGCCATACAATCGTTAAGATTAGTCTGATATGGGATCATCCTCGATGATCCGGATGAACTTTCTATTTTAATATTGATATCCTCCGTGACGACTCTCATATTGTCAGCATCATCATCATCAATCTCTACAACGGTTCTCTCTTCAGAAGATGACATGCCACTTTCGTTGTTAACAACGTTTAATGACCGATTTCTATTGCGTGAAGATTTTATTGAACGCAAAAGTCCCCAATTCTCTGAAATAGCACGAGCTTCTTCATTTTCATCAACACAAAACCCATCCAATGTAAGACGTCGTTGCCATGTTAATCCATCACCATCAATAACATTTCTCCATCTCTTGTTTACTTGAGCAGCTTTGCACATACTGTTTGCATCTAGGTATTTCACTATGTGTAAACTGAGCTCAAGAGGAAGCATGCCAAGAAAATCTTTCTTCAAAGCAGGTAAGATAATGTTGCTAACATATTGAAGAGTATTTGTAGGGCAACGTCGAAGCAATTGAAAGAGCATATATGATTTCATCGAAGACGGTAATGCATCAAATGTAGTAAGCATAGTATTTAAATCCCATAAACTTGGAATTTGAGATTCATCCGTTATAGATGTTTGTTGCAAACTCCAGTTTTCATTATTGTCCCCGGATAAAGGTTCATCAACAGTGGTATCGTCAACATCAGCATCATCACGGACGGAATGTTCCGCAAAATAACTTTCAAATTGGTTTGTACTTGAAGTGGCAACTCCAACCGGTGAAAGTGAAGGCGATGGAAGAGCGGACGAGTGAGTGCTTCGCGTGGTTGAAGGAGTATCCATTCCAAGATTAGGGGTAGAGATTGTATTAAAATGTCTGGTAGAAGAAACAGGACTTTGTTGGTGAGGAATGGTTGGCGTTGACGGTTCACCTTGTACATTACTTAATGGTGTATTAGTTCTTGGTATCACGATTCCTGAATTAGAATTGTTATTTCTAAAGTCTACAGTCAATTCCATCCATTGTCTTTGTGAGTTCATTTCGCCATCCTGCTCCAGCATAGTATTATTACTGGACTTTGCGCGAACCTTTTTAAGCGGCGGAGATAATGACCTGCGTGTGCGAGAAGTTTTTTCGCTATAAGACCCAACGCCATTAGAATGTTGACCAGCATTAGAGAAATCAAAAGCATATTCATTAGGAGAAGCAGGCCTTTTACGAGCACCACTGCCTGAGGGCTTCATCTCTTCATTCAATTTATGCTGGGTAGAAGTCATACTAGTCTTAACCGTTCTTGAGGTTGATGGTGTAGGTCCAGAAGCTCGCATATTATATAATGCTTCTTGAAGCTAAATTTTATAGACAAATAGCATAATTAATAAGATGTAGTCTTCAAGAGTGACAAAAAAAGAGCTTCCTAATCACCACGACTTTCTGATTAATAAAAATCTCTCAGTTGCATAAATATACCAGAAATTAGTCGATGATAATTAAATACTTTGCGGTGATAAGACCATGTACACAAGGTCTAAAACCTAACACACCTTGATCATTTGTTGTTCAGAATCTTCATCCTCACGAATGTAAGCCGGTTGCCCGTTTAAATCAAAACAAAAACGTTTCAACGCCGGGGGAGTTGGTGTATCGGCTAAAGGGTATTCCTTTGGATCTAACTTTTTAGGCAAAGGTGGAGCTTTTAATAATAAGGGGGGAAAGGAAGTAGTCGTGGTGGTTGTCGTTGTAACCACAGTGGTGGTTGTATTAGGAGCTAAGGAAATGGTAGCAACTGTGGGAAGTCTGAAAGGTGGTTCTTTTGAAGACGATGTTGTTGGCGATTGTTTAGTTGAGGTAAGGGGTATAGAGCCGAACATGGGAGTTGAGGGTGATGACGATTGACAACAACTTTCGGATGCGACGTTAGTGTCTACCTTAAAAGTTGGTGGGTTGACGTTTTTCATTATTTACTGAGGTAAATGTAGGCTAAAATAAAAATCAGTTATGACAAACTGGATAGTTTAGTTATAATGACTTTGCGGGCAAGGTATCTCCAGAGATGGAAGTTACAAGTTGCTTTTAAGAATGACCTATTACGAATTTACTGTGAAAAGAAACTATATCACCATATGTAAATATAGTTGATTCATAGAGCTAAAGGAATAGGAACAAGTTCACCCGAACTAATATATGAACACCTATTAGCAGGTACTTTACCAAAGAAGAAAAAAAAATTTTTTTTTCTTTTTTTTTTTTTTTTTTTTAGGAGAAAAAATTTTTTTCTCTAAGAGAACTATGTGATTCTATAAGAGGAAAAACAAACAAGAGGGAAATAACCTCTTTGGCAGGTGGTTATCAAAGTAAAGACTAGAAAATTAATAGTCGAATAATAGCTGGGATAGGTAGAGACAAGTAAGCGATTGTTATATAATTGATAATTAAATAATGGTGTGTAAAACTAATAGAAAGGTAAAAGGAAGTGATTTCTGCGCTGATGTACCTCAAAAAATACACCACATATTGAGTAAAAACAAATTATGATAAACGTCATATTTTTTTATTTTCAGTGTGCGTGCAAAGCAAGATATCACCTCAAGGTCTCGTGATCGTAAATACCAAATTGTAGATTATTGATTGACATCTACAGCCAATCAAAAAACGTTTGTTAGTGTATTACCATGCGTCACCACTTACAAATAAATTTTTTTATAATTATTATAAATTTAAATTATATTATTTTTTTTAATAAAAATCATAAACAAATAAATATGTTAAAATAAAAAATTTTGAAATTATATAGAATTATTTGTTATTTTAGATCTAATCTTAATTAAAAAACTTAAATATTAGTAAAAATAATTTAATTTCTTTAAAATTATTAAAAAAATCAAAAATTTATTTATTTATTTTTATTTTTATTTTTTTAAGATAAATATACATTGATATAAATTTTTATTAATATACTGTATAATATCTAGATAAACATCAAGTATCTTTTATATATAAAAACATATACAATTGAAGTTTTATATTTTTATATCTTTTATATATAAAATTAATACTATTTATTAATTATTTCTAGTAATAGTTTATTTATTTATCTTTATTAACTTAATTATATGAACTTATAAAAAAAAAAAACTCTTTCCCACAATACTCCAATTCATAAAAAATTTCCTTTTTGGATAATATACCAAGAACCGTGAATTGATAAACAGTCCAAAAACTTTAGGGTGAAAAACTTGAAGAATAATCTAAGGACTGTAAGATACAAAAGTCCTGATTAACTTCTCAAGAAAAAAAGATTAAGAAAGCTGAAATCTTTTCAGACAAACTTTTGCTTTATCAAAATGAAACTTAGTAAGCTTTTACTAAGGAATTCTTTTTATATGCCTCCAAGCATATTGTCTTAAAATTATTTCGAGACAGTATTTTATTTTTTCAAAATTTTTGTTTTCTACTAATAATGACTAGTGAAAGATTCTCCATATTCTTTGGCTAGTTATTAGTTCTCGCCAATATTACATATTCAAAACCTCTTAAATCCTCACATAAAAATTTTTTTACACAAAAAATTGAAATCAGTTTATCCTTATCAAAAAATCTATGATACACAAAATACCAATCACATTTCATATCACACTTTTATTTCAAAACAACATAACAACCTACTGGATTGGAAGAGTATATGACCAGTGCCCTGCGTGAGTTTTAGTATAGCTCCAACAACTATTAACAATAAAACAACATAATATAACACTGGAACAGATATTAATATTCAACCCACCAACATAAAAACTAACCAATCACCAGACAACAATCACAATTCACATCTCCAAATACAACACAAATC